GTACGGTAGCATTCTATAAAGAATAATATCATAGCATTCTATATATAATAGTATGGAAACTTTCTTTTTATAGTTGTATGGTAGTATTCCATATATAATAATATCAAAACATTCGACATACAATAGTATGATTGATAACTTTCTATTTATAGCCATTTATTATAGAAGCACCGGATCACAGACACATACATGCACATCCTATACTTCTAATTACACTGCATCCCACAGACACATGCATGCGCACACCCTACTTCTAATTATACTGAGACGACCAATGGCCACGTATGCACTGTACACGCAGCGACATGGATCACTTACGCACACACCTTTACATCCTGGACAGGAATAGCTCTCACGCGAACTACACACATTTGTATACACGTGCGTGTTATAATGTAACGGTGTACATGTATACATATATATATATATATATATCACTCAAACGGTATATAAAGATGTACAGATACAATACGTATGCACCTGTATGGCTTGGTCGGAGGTGATGATCACAGCATTTGCCAAATCAATGACACAGCTGACAGCGATGCTGGCGGCGTATTTGGCTGGAATGAGAGGCGGTTCACTCTTCTCCAGCGAGTCTAGCCTGCACAATGTATGCGTGTGTGTGTGTGTGTGTAGACATGTGTATATATGGGAGTGTATAGGTATATGTGTGGGTGGGTGTGTGTGTAAATATATGTATATATGGGAGTGTATGAGTATATGTGTGGGTGTGTGTCCATATCTGCATGTGTGTGTAGACATGTGTATGTGTAGGAGTGTATGAGAATATGTGTGGGCGTGTGTCCATATCTGTGTGTGTGGATATACGTATGCATATCGCATCTGTATGTGTGTGTTTAGGTCCCCTTCAAATGGAAAAGCTCACGATTAGACATTAACAGCTTATGAAAATAGAGACATATACAGCACACATACATATACATGCACAGACATACATAGTCATACATATACCTACATATGCACACATTTATCTACATTTACACACATATAAATACATAAACATATATGTAGATACATTTAAATACATTTATATGCATTTTCATACATATACCTACATATACATACATATACATACATATACATACATATACATACACATACATACATATACATACATATACATACATATACATACATATACATACATATACATACATGTACATACATATACACACATATACAAACATATACATACATATACATACTTATACATACATAGACATACCCACACACACATACACATCCATATTCATACACATATCAAAAGCATATAACTGCCTTATCCACCCTTACACAGCAGCACATACAGAAGGTATCGGTTGCTTCCTGCGGACGGGTTCTGGTAGGCCGTCTGTGCATCGGTCTTGACTTCCGTTTGAATGTATTTGGTCACTCCCGCCACAATCATTGAGAACACAGGGGCTGAGTGCTCCTGCATGTCGTAACACTCGCAGTATTGTCTGTGTTATATTCAATTATTTTACATTAAATGGGAGTGCATTATATTCGATTGTTTTATATTAAATGGGAGTGTATGTTTTTAATGTTTGATTGTTTTGTATTAAATTTGGATTGTGTGTATTATATGCGATTGTTTGTATTGAAATGGATTGTTCTGCAATACATTAGATTGTTTACATGAAATTGAATTGTCTGTATTATATTCAATTGTTTTATATTCAATTGAATTGTCTGTAACATATTTGATTGTTTTATATTAAATTGAATTATCTGTACTATATTCGATTGTTATATATTAAATTGATTTGTCTGTACTATATTCGATTGTATTATATTAAATTGAATCGTCTATCACAGCATGACCTGGTTTATAATAATTTGAACTGTATAGCGGAGTATGACCTCCGATGTGATAGGGCTACAGAATGCAATTGCTCCGCATCATAGTATGGCCTGGCCTGTTCATCAGTAAAGGACATTATTTCCGACAGCAGTATACATTAGTATACGACATAAATATACGACATCCGTATACGGCACCAAAATACGACATCAGTATACGCCACAAGCATACCACACAATATACGACACCAAAAAAATACCTGATCAATTTGGGATGGGCCGACAGATCCCTCAATACCTCTATGGCCAGGGTCTGTTGCCATGTGGGCCAATCAGAATGTAGGAATTTAACCAGCATGGTTAAAAAGATCTCACTCTCCGTCACCAGAGTACTCTGGAAATTCTTGATGAGCACCGACACAATCCGCAGCAGCCGTTGAGTGGTGGAGTATGACACCCGCTGCTTACCCTCCTGAAGTAATACATACACACAGAAGCAATAAACACAGACATAAGTTAAAAAGATATACACACAGAAGGAAAAAACACAGCCCATCATATTAAACCAACCCATAAATAAATCATATCACATCACACCCATCATATGAAACCAACCCATAAATAAATCATATCACATCACCCCCATCATTAAACCAACCCATAAACAAATCATATCACATCACATACATCATATTAAACCAACCCATAAATAAAACATATTACATCACACCCATCATTAAACCAACCCATAAAATAAATCATATTACATCACGTGCATCATATTAAACCAACCCATAAATAAATCATATCACATCACACCCATCATATTAAACCAACCCATGAAATAAATCATATCATATCACACCCATCATTAAACAAGCCCATGAAATAAATCACACGCACCGCTGTATCGCCTCTCTTCGAGGGAGAGAAAGACTTGATGACAATCGGGCACATTCTCTCCTTGACTATTTGGCCGAAGTTCGGGTTCTGACAGTGGGTATTATGGTCATATGATGTGAGTAAGGAGAGGAAGAAGGTTTAGGGTATTATTAGGAAGAATAGTATTGGCTGTGTTAACACTACAGAGTGCATTTGAGGAGTAGAGGGCATTCGATTATTTCAGTGCCATTCAGGTGTACATCACATGTACATGATATATATGTATGTGTATAAATATATATATATATATATATATATATATATATATATACATATATATATATATGTGTGTGTGTGTGTGTGTGTGTGTGTGTGTGTGTGTGTGTGTGTGTGTGTGT